TATATATATATATATATATATATATATATATAATATATATATATATATATATATATATATATATATATATATATATATATATATATATATATATATATATATATATATATATATATATATATATATATATACATATATATCAAAAAATTATCTGGCGCTCAACTTAAGAAGAAAAGAAAACAGCGCCTAGAAAGTGATGAGAAACTACAAAATTGTTTCAAGCAGAAGTTGGTAACTAACTCTGCAGAGAAAAAAAACAAATTATTTCAGAGGATATTAGTATTAAAGTTAATAAAAGTTCAACAGATAATGTTTTTCAAACATTTTGAAAAAATGACTTAATTAGATCATAATTTGAAATTATTTGAAGAGGAGATTTTCATTAGCCAAACTCAAGAAGAATTTTGTACAAATAATTAAGAAACAGCAAGAGTGTATGGAAATTTCTGACCGCGCTGAAATAGATCACAATGAACTTCATTCAGAAATATCAGATATTCCACCAACCTTAGGAAAAATTTTTCAATACACGGATCCAGCAACATGGACTAAACTTACGGACAACATAAGAGTCTTTTGATTCGACATTGGCCAGAGCAAGAAAAAAGACAATTTTTCCCATACAAGCTGTGTGATTTTGACCACAGAAAGCAACACATCAGCACAAAATGGTACAAAAAAATTCATCCCAATGGTGAAAAATTTGTTTTGCTATTGGTTGCTGTACAGCAATAAAAAAGATTGAATTTTTTTTTTTGTTGTTTGTAATTTTCAACGGCAAAAACCAACAATTTCTCAGAAATTTCAAAAGGATTTTGTGACTAGGAAAAAACTAAACATAAGAGTTTCTAAACATGAGAACAGCAATGAACATCAAAGATGCTAATCTGATTGAAAAACTCTCAAAAAAAAAAACCTCTGAGAAAAAAAAGACCATGGATTCTGATCTGCAAAGAGTTATCAATGGAGAAATGAAAAAGTGGAGAGACATCTTGAAAGTGATTGTTGATGTAATTTTGTTCTGTGACAGGAACAATCTTGCCCTTCGGAGCACAACAGAAGTCATCGGTCAATAAAACAGTGGCATTTTTCTGAACTTGATTGAGCTAATAAGCAATTATTATTCTTTAGTGGCTGAACACATTGCATCTCTTAAAGCAAAAAAAACTATATTGTTCTACTTTTCTCCTCGAATACAAAATGAGTTGATTGAGTTACTTGGGTAGAAAGTCAGAAATGAAATAATGTCAAACATTAAATTAAAGAAGCTAAATACTCTGAAATGAAATATTGTCAAACATTAAATTAAAGAAGCTAAATACTCTGTTTTGTTTGACTGCACTCCAGATTCCTCCCATAAAGAGCAGATGACCCAAATAATTAGTTATGTCCGCATCAATGATGAAACCTGTACAATTTAGGAAAGCTTTGTTTGACTTCATTGAATGTCACCAAAAAATCGGAAAAAATTTTGCAACAGAGATCACTGAAAAATTAAAGAAAGACGGTTGAATGGCTGTTTGAGTCTATGTCTGCTGTATCCTCCGATTTTGATTTCCTCTGTGGGTTTTCACTATCTAAAAGTTCAGTGGATGAACTTAAGACAAATGCCAAAAACGAATTTAAATCTGCCGTGTAAATCTCAGATTTATACGGCAGATTTAAATTCTTCTGACTTTTAGTCAGAAATGACAAGTTTTAAATATCAAGCTGCTGCAATGATGGACAACTTCGAAAAATCTAGCTTAATTATCGTTTTGCAACTCATGTATAAATATTTATTGACTGATGCTTATCCTAACACGACAATTACTATTCGCATCTTCCTCACCATACCAGTCACAGCTGCTACGTGTAAAAGAAGCTTCAGTAATCTTAAGCTTATAAAAAACTACATGAGATCAACTATGGGCCAAAAACGTTTGTCTAGTCTGGCTATAGTTTTAATTGAACATAAAGTAGTCGACGATATTGATTTTAATGACACCATTAGTGAACTTGCATCCAAAAAAGCTAGAAAAGTGAACTTGAACTGAAATTTGTGTATTCATGACAAATTATAATTTACACTTGATCTTAAATTTTGTGATCGTTTTTTAATTTTAATTTTTTTGGGGGAGGAGGAGGGGCGCAATTTTCCTTTCTTGCCCGAAGCGCAAAGTTGGCTCGGTAGGGCCCTGATTATATGCAAAATCATTTAATTTCTGTTTATTTAAAATAGTCGGATGTCCAGGTTTAGCTCCCATTTTCATTACTTAAGAAAGTCAAACTTGTAACAAACATCTAAGAGTGTCAAAAGTTTACATGCTACTCGCTGCAAATCTCCATTTTTAACAGCTTTAATTGCTGATATCATCGATTCATCATTCCATAAACGGTGTTTTCTGTGTTTGCTTTTCTGTATTTCAATTTGCGTTGAATTTTCTGTTTTTTTTAAGTTTTATATATATATATATATATATATATATATATATATATATATATATATATATATATATATATATATATATATATATATATATATATATATATATATATATATATATATATATATATATATATATACATTTTGTATAACGATCAATTAAACGTTATAAAAAATAAGCAAAAAAGCAAACAAAGTTTTAATATTTACAAAACCAAAATGTTTACATGTAATTAGGAAAACTTTGAAAATACCAAATATTGAGTTTACAGAATATAATATTTATCAAATTTTTAAAAAGTATTCGTAAAAAAGTTAACGAGTCAATATATACTTTAAACTGCATATTTATAAATTATAAATTATAAACATTGAATTTCTACTTTAAAGCAATCAATACATCCCTGAATTATAATTTTTTTTGAAAATTGTTCAAAATAAGGACGCAGATATAAATCAGTTTATCCTAAATAACTATGAACGGAGTACCATAATAATAACAAAAAGTGAGTTTTTTAATTTGTTAAGTCCAGATATAAAAAACAAATTATTATAAAAAAAGTATTAAATATCGTAATTTGATAAGCTAAATAATATTTTTTGTTGTTCTAGAACCCAAAAAAATTTAAAACAGTATATGTACTTGTCAAAATGTGTAAATAAAATAAACTGTAGAAGAAACGACTTAAAAATTCTTCTAGCTTTTTTTTTAAGAAACTTTAAAGAATAATCTCCACAGATCAACAGAAAAAAAAACAAGAAACTTACCATCTGTAAATGAAATCTATTAATGAAACTAAATAAACTACATTATAATTTAAAATAACATATACCTTATTAAAATCAATTCACACTATATTTTTTTATGATATGACCATATTACCACTTATAATGTCTGCAAATTTTATAGTTGCTCATCTCATACTCTACAGCATCATCATCCTTAATCTCATTTAGTTCCCAAATATAACTTCCAATAGCAGCTTTAACAAGAATTTCTTCAATATCCGAATTCGCATTACTTTCTAGTTGTGGAAACATTTCTTTTCGCTGATGCGGCATGCAATTTTTTAATCACCTCCTGTAACCAGTATTTCATTTTGCAGTGCAAGAATTACAGCATTTTTGTCAGCAAGTTGTTGGCATAACATGGCTTTTAGATAAGAGAACTTGTTTTCCGTAAATGTTAGATGTTGATTCAAACAAAAAATTATGTTTTGAAGTTTCTTTAACTGTAAATTTAAATATTTTTCCTTTAATTTTTTCCAAAGATGATGTATAGTTTTCTCCTTGCGAGTAATAACCTGATTTAAATATATAATTCTGCATGACCTTGTATTTGCCTTATCTCTTAACTCTTTTAAATCCTCTTTAAACTTTCTTTTCGTAGAAGCTATTTCATTTGTCAAATTGGTTATTCTCTTTCTCATAATTTTTTTTCTGGGGCTCAACTGATTGGCTCTCAATTTGGATAGTGGTGGTTTTTAAGAAGTAATCATTAAAACAGGACCAGATAAAGAAGATGATTGGTGATCACTATTTACTACAGATAAAATATTGTTGTGTTGAAAAGGTGATGATGAAGAACCCAAAACAGTGTTAATTGAGTTTGCCGTTGACTGCAAGGATTGTGTTGTAAGATATGTTTTTATGTGGTCTACAAAACCTTGTTGCATATATCAATGAAAAGGTTTGAATTTTTCAAAAAATTGCGTGCATATAACTTGTATATATTTACTAGATGCACAATCTGATATGTATTCACTAGTATTCACTAGATGCACAATCTTAGATGTATTCACTAGATGCACAATCTTGGATGTATACACTAGGTGCACAATCTGATTTTGACAAATTTTAAGATTAAAAAGCTTATTTACTAGTTCTTCAGTTTTTTTAAAGATTCGCTGTTTGTTGTAAAGTATAGTACATATCCTTTCTTACATTCAATGTTTAATTGAGCAGCCAATGCAAAGTTACAAGCTAAATAATTTTTGGCTTCACCATAAAATAAACGTCTACTCTTTTTAGAACCCATGATGCACTAAATAAAGCAGATGTAATCATTTATTTAGGTCAGCTACTAATCACAACCACTATATTAAAAAAATTGCTTGAATGTACATGAGAAAAAAAATAGCTATTTGAAATATTTAATAAAATACATTAAAAGTATGATATTATTTCTACTTAATATGTTCATAAAGTAACTTATCTGGTAATAGGTTCATAAAATAACATGTACCAATTAAGTAGACATTTTAATAACATTTTTTAAATGTACGTACATTATAAGTATATTATTAATAATCTCCATTTATCTGTTTTATAAGCATTTTCTACTAGAATTATAGGTATATATATAGATATTATCATTAAATGACTTTTACCAATTTCCACTTAATTTATAAAGTATCGTAAGGTAACTTTATAAATTAGACGGACATTGGTATTAATACTAGTAAAATAAAATTAGATTTTTCAACAAATTATTATTGCACAACACTTTTAAAAAAATCGATATGAAAACTCAACATATTTTTAAAATGAAAAGTCAATAATACTAAATGCTCATAACTGTAACACACTCACCCCCCGAGCGAAAAAAACAACCATAAAACAAACTTTAAACCTTCTACTTTTATAATAAAGTCAAAGTTGATATAAGATTCTAAAAAATAAAGTAACAAAACTCATCCAAGCACATAGAAAAAATACAAATCAGTTAGCATGTATTTAATCAGTTTAGTAGAAATAATGTTTTAACAAACTAATGTTTTTTGCTTCTGATTCTTTTATCTCTTGGACTAATACATGATAATTTCCATTCGAAAACTTTCGATAAGAACCAAACCGTGCTTCTAAATAGTTTGTTTGAAATTTTCCTGTCAACACATAGAAAAAATGCAAATTAGTTAGCATGTATTTAATGAGTTCAATAAAAGTTATCTAGTGTATTTTCAAGCAAAAATGGTTTGCTTAGTTAGCCAGCCATGTCTACTTTTTTGTTAAAAATTTTCCTATCCTTGAATTAAAAAAAAAAAACTTTTTTTTTAAAATAAAAAAGTTTAAAGTCATTGGTAGGATTACAATTATTATCTTGCTTACAAATTCCTTTACTAGGAGACATAATATTTTCCGGAGTTTTATAATTAAAGAAATAAACTCATGAGTTCCTGTCAGAGTTGTTAGTCCTTGGCCTTGCCTTTGCTTTAAGGCTGAAAATTAAGGCCTTGGCTTTGAAATCGTTGGCCTTGGTCTTGAAAATTTTAAAGCTAATTTAACATTTTGTCTTTCATTAGTGGTCAGGTTAAGAGTTTGAAGTTTGAAGTTGAAGCCAAGTTTGAAGTTTGAAGTTGAAGCCAAGTTTGAAGTTTGAAGTTGAAGCCAAGTTTGAAGCAAATTTAACAGTATTATCTTTTTCAACATTGTGCAACTGTCCTGTTTATTGTTTAACTGTTAATTCTAAATGTAATGCATGCAAAATGCATGCATTATATTTAGAATTATCAGTAAAAACAGGATAAAGAAATAATGATTGTTGTCAAGTTGTCTCAGCCAGTTAATGCGAATACATTTCAATAGATGTGCACTATTAAAGAGAAAAACAGTTTTCTTGCTGAAACATAAGAATATTGAATAAATTACTTAAAATCATCACTACTAAAGGCAATAAACATGTTTCAATTAATCTGACTAATATCTTAAATTAAAGAAAGAACTTTGTAACCACAATTTTTTATCATTTCAAACACTTTTATAGTATTTCTTTTAAATGCGGTAGTGGTGTAGTGGTAGAGCGCTCGCTTCATAAACGAGTGGTTCCGAGTTCGATCCCCACCACGTCCCTGGTAGTACCGCGCTCAACTCGTTTCTCTGCGCAGCGGCCTTGTTCGTCAAGGTTCGTGTTTCGGAGTTATAGAGTTGAGAGAGGGTTATAGCCACAAAATAAGTAGCCTCCTCGTCTGTAGTGGCCTTCTCGGCCTTGAGGAGGTGAAGTATAATAAAAAAAAAAAAAAAAAAAAAAAAATAGATAACAGTCATATTTTTTACTGAAACAACATCTTTGAATGATACTGAGCAATATCTTTGTATGATGATATAAAGAATTTATAAATGTTTACACTGTGACATGCATTTTAGATAGCCATTCCAGACAATTTATAATTCAAATAAGCATATAAAATTTATGTTTTATATGCTTATTTAAAAAATAAATTTTATATTTTAAATAAGCATATAAAATATAAATTTTTTATGCTTATTTAAAATATAAAATTTATATTTTAAATAAGCATATAATAAGAATGATCCCTCATTTTTTAAGTCAAATTAAGCAAAGAGCTTAACTTGACTTAAAAAATGAGGGATCATTCAGCCTTTGAAGTTGAGCGGATCAAAAGTTATTGAATCTTTTGTAGTGAAAAAATGGATGATTTTTTGATGAAAGGTATTGGGCTTAAGTATGGAAAATTTGCAGTGTTATGGCACCAAAAAAGACAGTATTTTTGGATCATATTGACTTTTGAATAACTTTTGAACCGTTATCACGTTAGACTTTAGAGATTCAAAAACTATAAGAAAATAAAAAACAAAAAAATATTTTTTTAATTCTGTCGGGATTGTCCAGAATCGTCTATTTTACAGACTAAGGGTTTTTACTTATTTACTTAGCTTTGGTGTCATATTGACTCTTGAATAACTTTTGAACCATTATTACATTTGACTTAAAATTTTCCATAGTAATTCCACAAGCATAAAAAAATAAAATACCAAAAATATTAAATTTAATGTATCGAGATTACCCAGAATAATCTATTTTACAGACTGAGGGTTTTACCTAACTTAATTAGTTTTGGTGTCATATTGACTTTTGCATAACTTTTGAACCATTATTGAATTTGACTTGTTATTTTCCCTAGCGATCCACTAACTATTAGAAAATAAAATACCAAACTTTTTTTTCAATCTGACAAGATCGACCAGAAACATCTATTTTACAGACTGAGGATTTTCACTTATTTACTTAGTTTTGGTAAACAAAATTTGGGGTTGTATTGTAATTAAAACATGCAAATATGAATAAAGGAATCATGCAATCCAAATAGTACATCATTTTAAAATTATTTTATAATTTACAGACCGGTTAGTAAATTACTCTAAAAGGAGTGCACAAACTAATTGGGCATATTGACTTTGAATATATTTGATATTTTTAAAACGTTATTACATTAGACTAAAAGTTTTTCATAGTAATTCAATTTTTTTTTTAATCTGACAAGATTTACCAGAAAAATCTATTTTACAGACTGAAGGTTTTCACTTATTTACTTAGTTTTGGATAACAAAATTTGGGGTTATATTGTAATTATAACATGCAAATATGAATAAAGGAATTATGGAATCCAAATAGTACCTAATTTTGAAACTATTGTATAATTTACAGACCGGTCAGTAAATTACTCTAAAAGGGCTGCTCAAACCAATTGGGCATATCGACTTTGAATATATTTGATATTTTGAACCATTATTACATTATACTCAATATTATACTTATACTAAAAATTACTCACAGCAAATAAATGTCCTGAAATTTGGAGTATTTACAACAGCAATAGGCAGGTATAACAGCAGAATCTCTACCCTAAAATGTTACAAAAATATTATTAGAAACAATGATACACAATGTGTTAAAAATATTTTGTTCACTTGTTTAAGAATTAAAAAAATTTAAACTAAATAAGTATAATATAAGAAACTCACTCTTTGAGATATGTTTATGTGAACTATTGACAACGCCCAAGATAAAATAATGTAAAAAACATAAAAAAATGTTTTTATTCTAAAATTTATTTCTTGGCTTTTAGTGAATGATTAGAAGTAACAAGTTTCAGTAACGAAACAAACTAATAATCATTTTTAACAATAGACACCATCGAGAAGGTGAGACAAGTTGTCTATCAACACAAAACATCACAACAATAACATCACAATAACAAAACATACAGACCCTATGGCACTAAACGCTTCTAAATCGCAATGATATTGATATTACTATACTGATGAATAGCAACACAGTTACTCTGTCTTCTAATTTACATCATGTTGGATTATCTCTTTGCACCTCTCATAAAAACCTTATCATTATCGTTTTAGTGTCCTTGTTTCCGTGCTCTACATGCCCAAACCACCCCAATCTTCCCTGACGCACCCTATCAGATACACTCACTTTGCCTAATCATTTTCTTAAACCATCACTACTTTGAAATGCTTGTATACAAAGCATTTCAAAGTTAGTATTTGTATATTATATTACAAGTGCTTCAAAAATTCATAATCATCTAGTTTTTTTCCTGAAACATCAGTTATTTGGAATTTACTCCATTCATCTTGTTTTCCTGATTTAAATAATATGCAATCTTTCAAGTTGTTTGTTAATTGTTATCTTGCTATATAAACTTCATCTTGCTCTTCCAGTAATTTCCAACTCTAAAAGTGATTGCTGGTAGCCTTATAAAAAAAGATGTAAAATAAAAAAATTAAGATATATATAAAAAAAAATTTTCAGGAAACATAACATTAGATTTTTTCAGCTCAGTTTTCTCTTTTAATGATGCTTTTTCTGATATTGTTGGTTTGTTACCTTCTGATGCTAGTTCTACCCCGATTTTTATCTACAACAGTGAAATTGTTCTAAACCAGGGTATTGTTTTTGTATCTTCTGGTTTAAACTTGCGAATCACTAATGATAATTTTGTGTGCTCTGTTACTTCAAATTCTATTGTATACATCTCTTTAGGAAATTGTTCTAATAGTTTTCTTCATGAAACACAAGTTAATGAAGAGAATCTTTCAGTTTCCAATATGGATAAAAAAAACTCTTTATATTATCTGATGATTTAACCTATCAAATAAAGAATAATAGAATAATATAAGTAGGTGTAAAACTAGCATCAGAAGGTAACAAACCAACAACATCATTAAATGAAATATTCAAAGAGAAAACAGAGTTTAAAAAATACATTGTTAAAAAAATTTTTTGGCACGATTTAATTTTGCAATGAAATCTTTTGACTTTTTAAGGCACTTGATAAGCATAATTCTAGATTTAGGAAACTGAAACAAGGATGTAAAAAATAATGTAAGCTGTGGCTATGCCAAGTTAAATTTATCTTTTTCTTAACAAATTTGAAAGAAATAACTATTGGTTAAAACCAAATCTGGATTTTTGAGAGATACAATGCTGCTATTAATATTTAGATAATCCAAGACAGTGTTGGATGCTAAAATTAAAAGTAAAATTAACTTAAGTGACAACAAAGAAAAATAAGAGGTGGATCATTATACTTTGTCAAAGTGTTTGGTGGATCATTACACTTTGCCAAAGTATTTGGACCAAAGTCTTTGGATTTAATAAATAGAATTATTAAAATCAAAAAAAATGTGTGCTACAGTATTCCTAATTTAAAATTTTGACTTACTTTCTTGAGTTATAGATGGAGCAACCATTTTTTCAGGACTATTGTTAATACCAACACCTAAAATAAGGGAATTAAAGTAAGTATTACTAGAGTTCATTATACTTTAACCAACAAACAAAAATAGATAAATAAATGTAAAAAGAATTTTAAAATTTTTTACTCAAGTCTATTTTTGTGAGCTTTAGTTCAATTACTATTTTTAGGTTTTTGTTTTGAAAAAAACAGTTTAAAGGAAACAGTTAAGGGAAACCTGTAGTTTAAATAGTAAAAATCAAGCTTTTAGCTTTCTTGCACAATGCAGAGCCTGGGAAGAAGTAAAATACTTATTTTCATTTGATTAAAATTTTACGACTTATACTTTCACTTTCAATTTAATTTTTATAATTTAGCCGAAACAAACGCAAAAATCAAAACAAATAACGTCATAAAATACGCGAGGAAAAGCATATATATTCACATAATTTTTATATGCAATTCCTAAGTACCAATTCTTTAGGTAAACTTAAATAAGTACTTGTTTTAAATAGAGGAAAGGTTAAACTCACCATTTCCACCTGGACGTTTTTCAATAACACTTTTTTTTTTTCATATAAATCAACCTTGAAGTTTTTAAACGCTGAGAACTAAAATTTTTTGTATAAAAGTTAAAAAACGTCCAGGTTCCATTAGATTTCTCGTCTTTTTCCTAATAAATATAAAAAATTTTATAAAAATTAGATGTGTTTAAGTTCTAAGGAATCCATACCTTCAAAAGCTTCGTTTTAAAAAAACGTTCCCGCGGCAAGTTTTTTTATGAAAAGTGGTCTTAAGATATGGGCAATATATAAATGAAGCCACACAAAACTTAGTACTTTCTATATATGGTTGGAAAGAGATTGAGTAACACTAACTGATGCAAAAAATCTCAAGGCGCTTGCTTAATTATACAAAAAAGATATGAGAGCAAAGTTTATAAAAATTAAGTGTTTTTTGTCAAACGTCAAATGTTTTTTGTTAAGCCGTGGAATCGCTTTTTTAGATAAAAACTAAAAGCCAGAGTATCAGGACTATATCGAGGTTGATAAATCAATAGTATTTTATTTGTCCACATAAATATACTAAACATTTATGAACATCTGTAGAATATTCATCACTGTCTTTAATCTGTTTACATAGATTGTTTAAATTACATTGAATTGTTAAAACATAATTTTAACTGGACATAACGTTTTTATTACCAGAAAAAATTTGTGTTAAAATAGTGGACAATTGAGTCAAATAAGAAAGTTTACATTCATCGTTAAGTACCTTAGCCACCAAACTGCTGTCTATCTTCAAATTACAAGTAAACACTCCAACAAGTAGGTTATTGTAATTATAAATTTTATTGATAAATAAAAAGAAAAATAAACTTATCAAAACAATTAAAATAAATCATATTGAAAATATATATTTTTACGTTAAAATTTTTATTTAGTACCATATGGGGACAATCTTTGGTGCCTCAACAGATTTTACCTGACGTTACTAAATAGGGTTGGAGGAAAGTAAATAACGCAATGATACTTTTTTGGATGACTCTACGTGAGGCATTAAAATAATGCATTGAATTGATAAAATATGGACACAAAAAAGGTTGCGGAAAACAATACAAATGCAAACGTTCAGGGTTAAGCTGCACAGAGTTATGCAATTGTTCTCGTCAGTGTTTAGAAGAAATTTGAATAACCCTCAAAAAATTAGTTTTATTAAAATCTTCATCCGTAGGATAAATTTGAAATCTATTCTCTTATCCACCTTTTTTTATCCCTTGTTTTATATCTTTAGCCTTATTCTACTATATAATATGATATAGTTGTTTACTTGAAGTAGATTCTCCTTTAAATTTAGCTTTTAACTTAACCTTATATCGTCAGTTTTGAAGATTATATATTTTTTTACCGTCAACATGGAGTCCCCCCTGGACCAAAAAAATATATTTAGAATAGGGGCGCTTTTTTTTTTTTTAATTATTTTTGTTCATAGACAAGTTTCTGAAAGTTTTAAGTTGGTATCTCGATTTAGACTATTTAAACTTATTGTTCTCACTATATAAAATGAAGTTCTTTAAGTCCATTTCCTTAAAAATTAAAGAATTAATAACTCAAAAACTAAGACATCTACAAGTGGGGTCATTTTCTAAATCATTTTGTATAGTTATCACCAACAGTTTTGCCAAGTTTCATGCTGGTATCACAGTTTCAACTATTTTTATCCTTATAGCCCCCACTATAAGTCTGAACGACCGTGATCAATTTTATTATGCAGTATATGCAGTCAAGAAAAAAATAGATTATTAAATAAAAGTATGAAAGGGGGAACTAGCTCAATACTAAAACTTTGCCAAATATGCTTCTGTGAAATTGCTTAAGGTAAACCCTACAAATGCTCACCATTTAAAGCTAGCACAAATCTTTCTAAGGGCATTTCTAAAATTTCCAAAAAAGTAAAGGAACAGCTTTTTCTCTACTTAAAGCAAGGCCAGACAACGGAGGGGTGGGGGTGGATGGGGGACAGGAAGGCTCCTATTAATGGTGGCCCCTCATCGGGGGTCAGGGGGCAAACTATGAACATTTTTGGGGTACTCAGATAGTAAACTTAAACGTTAAATTTCTGAGCTGTGACTAAGGGCTAAAATATTGTTAAATAAAAAATAGCTATGATATATATTCTTAAAATAACAGTTTATCTTATGATAAACTATTATTCTTAAAATAAGTTGTTTTTAAATAATTTTAAGATAAACTCTATATTAGGAAATGGGTTTTTTTACCCAACAATATATTCATAAATTGAATTACTATATAAAATTGTAGGGTCATGGAGGAAAGTATGCTTGTGTATGGTGTGAATGCTCTTCTGAACTATTTTCTGGAGAGTTAAAAGCGTTTCAATCTTTGAATGATTATTATGAACTGAATTTGTTTGCCAAATCTCTGATGAAATAAATGAAGGTATAAATAAATAAGTATATTGTAAATATTTTCAAAATATATCATTCATCACAAACTTATCATTTTTAAAATAATAAAAAATATTACTTATATATATTTAGAATGTCATTAATCCTTGTTTGCTCAAGATAGAAGACAAATCTCTAAGTATAATAAAAGAAGTTCCATTACCAGAACTTCACCTTCTGATGGGATTTGTTAACCATGTGACAGAATTTATAATGCAGCTTTGGTCTGGATTTATAGATTGGTTCAAGAGAATTGGGTGCCTTTGAAAAGATTACTATTGAGGAACATTTGAAGGGAACACGTGTAGAGAGATACTTAAAAGTTGCAACAAACATAAGCTGATAATTCCTATTAAACTGTATCGCCTCTTGAAAAAAAGGAGTAAGTTTAATAAGGTTGTTCATGGTGTCTTTAGCTATAAACTTGACCCAATCTATTCAGGTTTAATTGAAAGTTTTACACAAAGTTATAAAGATGCGCAAGACTAATGCAGAGAGGTAATCTCTGTATTCCTTAATCTTTGTATTTGAAACGAGTTGGGCAGTTTAACAAGCAGACATCTGAATCTTACCATTCTAAGATGAAAAGTGTAAGGTTTGGCATTATTCAAAGTTTGGCATTACAGTAAAAAACATAAGGAAAGAAGCAAAAGAATTGCTGAAGTGTTCAGTTCAAATAATTTAAAAGTTATTAAGCATACATCAATTGTTCATCAAAACATTGTTGAAATCTTAAGTTAAAAACATTTGTAAATTCTTTCAAAAAGACAATAAAAATAAAATTAGTATAAACGATTTTAAAATATATTATTTAGTATTTAATATATTATTATTGTTTATGTGTTAGGCAAGTATGCATACAACACTACTATTCTACTAAATTGCTTACATACTATTAATATGTTTTACTTTACTAAGCATACTGTTTCTAAACTAATTTCAAGCGTATTTAATTTTTTTTCGCTAACTTAAAGCAGTCTAATGATGCTGATGTATAAATACAAAGTTAAAAAAGCATAAAAAGTTGAAATATAAAGTTATTTTATGTTAACTTTACTATTTGTTCAGTATATTTAGTTTTTTTAAATACAAAAAAATGACTTTTTTGCAAATTTTCGATGTCAGTTTTCTAAAAATGTGATACCTCCCAGGTTTTTCTATATATGGAAATGAATTTTCCAGATGCCCCAGGTACTATAATTATTAACATTTTTGGGGTACTCCAATAGTAAACCTAAACCTTAAATTTCTGAGCTGTGTAGTCGACTTAAATTTTACGGAATTTTATTACTCGGAAGAAAAACATTTTACGGAATGACTTTTGTAAATGCGCTGTTTTTATAAGAATGTTTTTTTTTCTATCATGGAGTTGCAGTTGTCTAAAAGCTTTAATTTAATGATAAAAAATTAATAGTGTAATAAAAAAATGTAATTTGTCAATCGTAGCATGGTAATTGTTCATCCTTCCAGTTAAATTGGTAAAGGTTTTTACTCTGTTTAATATCACTGGTGTAAAGATCGTAAATAAATGTGTTTGTTTTAAAAAATGGTAATGAGTACATTATTATACCACTTGCAAATGATATATTCAAGGGTTGACTCTTATTGACTGCGTAATGAGTCAATCATTTTAATGTAATAATAATTATGTTTTTATGTCATAGTAGATTTTATATTGTAAATATTTAAATATATTAATACTTAAACAATTTGAATTGTGTTTAACATAGTAAGTTAAAGGGCGGACCTGTAAACGGCGCACTCCTAACTCGGTGAAGTTTGTCAATTCTCGGAACGATAATTCTCGGTGTTTGCATTTTGGTATTTTACAGAACGGGCGCTAAAATTTTACGTTATTGCGCGCCATAATGATAAAGTCGAAAATTATAAAACTAAAACTTTACGTAAATGCATTTTAATAAAAATTTAACATTTTACAAAAAAAATTAAAATTTTACAAGTTATCAACATTGAATATTATACATAGAAATATTAGATTAAATAGATCTTCTAAAGGTATTTTCTCTTCTTAACATATCTTCTTACCTTGGCTTATCTTCTTATAACCGATCTTTTAAGGGTATCTTCTTGTACCTTCTCTTCTTAACATATCTTTTTGTTTTGTGGCTTATCTTCTTTTAGTTTTTGCAACTTAAATTTTGCATTGTACATAAAAAATAAAACAAATTCAATATAAATATTATGAAACATTTTCAATGTAAACATTATATTATAATACTTATTTTACATTACATTACAGAGAATACCTTTCATTAATATGCTTTAAAAATAAAGAGAAATTTTCCCAAACATTTTCGTTATAAAACTCATAATGTTCTCTAAACTTCGTTTAGCCTAGATCACTTTAAATCACCCTGTGACCAAAAAACATAATTTGACCTTCGTTTCATTCGCAACCAAAACGACTCAACATGATTTGTTGCCGCTCCAGTGTCAGGATCAACAAAGTTTGTTGTATGGTTTACGGTGAAATGATTGTAACCTAAGTTATTTAAATTAGCATTTGGATCTTAGTGTATTATTGATCCAGGTGAAACCCATTGTTGAACTATTGGCACTAATATCTGAGCTGTTCAATCCTCTACCTTTTTTAAATATGCTTTCTTACTAGTTACATCAAATGCCCCAAAAATCCAAGAATCGAAAAAAAAAATTAATTGAAGTATCAGACTTACACTTAAAGATGTAGAGCTTTCAAAAAATCCTGCTCGAATTGATTTCGGCGAAGGTGTATTTGATTCACGGGTTTAGAGAGGGGCGGCATTTCTTAGTTAATTTCAATTAAAAAACGGCTAAAATAAATCATCGTTTTAATCACACGTGAATCAAATACACCTCCACCTTGACTTCGTTTTGACCACATAAACAAAGATTTTGAAGTGGCAGTAGCCTTTTTTGTTGCAAAAAATTAACCAATTTTTCTTCTTCGATACTTTCAATAAACTCAGCTAAAGGTGTCATCATACTTATTTTGAAGGCGGTAAAAAATGGGCTAAGGAAGCGCGAATTGAAAACTTTAATGTTACATTTTAATTCGTTAATATTAGCCAATCATAAAACGGCAAAGTTATCGTTTCGAACTTTACCGAGTTCGTATTAATTTATTATTGTATTATTGTAATTGATAATTTTAACATAATTAACAATAACTAAAAAAAGATAATATTTGTTATATTGATTATAAAGATATATTTATTATAATTGAAACAGTATTGTTGAGAAAATTATTAATGAGAAAAAATTTTGCTAACTTATTTTCTACTAATTTATATATATATATATATATATATATATATATAATATATATATATATATATATATATATATATATATATATATATATATATTTATATATATATATATATATATATATATATATATATATATATATATATATATATATATATATATATATATATATATATATATATATATATATATATATATATATATATATATATATATATATATATATATATATATATATATGAATAGTTTTGCAATGTGCGACAACTTATGACGGCCTGAAAGAAGCTTTAAAGTTTGTTTATGAAATGAAAATGAAAAAAAATTCAATAAATTTTATACAAACTTATTTCAAACCGGTCCGTGGCTTTAATAGACACTGTCTGCCTCCAGTTTATGTAAATATAAAATATAATACTTTGTTTATAGATATGTTTATATCTTCTGTTTACTTAGTTTTTTATGATTTTTTTTTTAAGAAACTATTATCCAAATTTTTTTTAATCCACTTCTTACAGCTTCTAAAGACTTAAATTTTGATACAGATTTTTGTTCTGATTCAATGGTAATATTACCATTGAATCTAACCTGTCCTGTTATTTGGTGTCAAATGAAATAAATCATGCAGTCGTATAAGATGCCAACAACATAATAAAAGTATTTAAACATAAATACTTTTGGAAATATAATTCAAAAGAAAAATATTTAAAAAAACCTTGTGAATATGCAACTTCTACTTACCTCTCTAAAAATTTAAGATTTTAAACCAATAAATTTCACAAATTACTTTTTTTCCACAAAGAAAAGCCTTGAAATGTTTGTTATCTCTCTCTCTCTCTCTCTCTCTCTCTCTCTCTCTCTCTCTCTCTCTCTCTATATATATATATATATATATATATATATATATATATATATATATATATATATATATATATATATATATATATATATATATATATATATATATATATATATATATATATATATATATATATATATATATATATATATATATATATATATATATATATATATATATATATATATATATATATATATTTATATATATATTTCTAAAGAAACCATATAAAAGAAAAACCTTACTTTGTTTCTTCATTAAATCACAACTCATTTACTCCAAGATAATATTAGCTAACCCCGTTGTTTCAAAAATTACTTTTAATGAAATACTACTTATAAAAACTATAAATATATATAAACAAAATTTATGGGTATGCAACATAACAAAAACATCGTACCTTGTTTATTGACAATGAAGTTTCTTGAGATACCTTATACAAAAAATATCTTACGTTATTTATCCAATAAATCACAACTCGTGGACTCCACGATAACATTAGATAAACCTGTTTTTTTTTTTTTTTAACTCTCTGAATAAAATATTACAAATGAAAACTATAAATATATATCAATAAAGTGTCTTGGGTTACCATAATAGAAAAATATCTTACGTTGTATATCCAACAAATAATCTTATTGACTCTATAACATAAGATAACCATGTGGTTCCAAAAAAGATTCTCAATTAAATACATATAAAAATTTAATAATTAAACTAATTATTAAATATTAAATAAGGCTTAAAAGCAAATAAAGATATAAATCAATCATTTTATTTCACATTATAGAAAATACAAATTTAGGATCAGTAACAAACAATTATGTAACTGACAAAATCGTGACGACCTACAAATATTCACCATAAATTTGAAACAATATATAAACCAAATAGCAAATTAAAAGTAAAAAAAACAAATAAATAATAATAATAATACAGTAATAATAATTATAATAATAACAGTAATGGCTAACAAAAGTAAACAATAAAAATAACAATGTTAATTATAAATATATAATAATAGCCAAACATTAACAATAAGTATATAAGTACTATCAGTAATAACTAACAACAGTAACAATAAGAATAACAATGTTAACTAAAAAAAATGAAAATAAAACAATAACAATAGATTTATTATATATAAGAATGACAAAATTGACAGAAAATATAAGACAACAATGACAGAAGATATAAATATCTTCTGCAGAAGACATTTATATAAATGTTAATATTAATAATGATAAGATAACAATGACAGAATATATAATTGTATATTCTGTCATTGTTATCTTAATAAGATTCTTATCATTATTAATATTAAAAAGAAAATGTTTTGACAATGACCGATCTGTCATTGTTAAAACATTTTCTTTTCATTTATTTACAGCTATTAAGTTAACAAAAAATAAGAAATACGAATATAGATAAATAGCAAATAGTAAATGTTATTTACTATTCACATTATTATAAGTAAACGTGATGCTTATCCTTTTTAAACCTTTTTTAAAATGTTATAAAGTTGCACATGCGCAAAGGAAAAACTTTTATTTTATCACAAAAATGGATTAAGCCTGGCGCAAGATCGGCAAGATCGGCAAAGTTGGCCGATCGTAAAACAAGCATGGCCAACCATTGGTTAATGACTGGCATCACTGGCGCAATGGCGCCGGCCATTAACCAATGAATTCCATGCATGGACCATGCATGACAAGTTTACTGGGATGTTTTATTTTATTGCAACAGTTTAGATAGTTTGTTAAGTAATTTTTTATCTATAAAATATTTCGATATTTTAGGCACAACGTAACCAGAACACTGCTGTCAACTTAGCTGTAGAGTCCCTGCCATCGCTAAAAACTCATTTTTTTTTTTTTTTACACAGGTATTTTTTAATTATGCCAATGTTGTTGGAGGTTAAAAACAATAAATTTTATAGAAACTAATTTCAACCCAGTCTATGGCTTAAATAAACAACGAATGCTTCCGGTTTATGTACATATAAAATGCAAAACTGTGTTTATATCTTATTATGTTTAGCTTTTTATGATTTTAAATTTTTTTAAAGAATTTATTATCCAATTTTTTTTTAATTCATCCACTTTGCACAGCTTCTGAAGACTCAAATTTTGATACCGATTTTTGTTCTAAGTCTTTTTATTCTATTTTTGTTCTGGTAATGTTTCATTTATTGCAACAGTTTAGACAGTTTTTTATCCGTAAAATATTTTAATATTTTAGGCTCAGCATACCCAGGATATACTGCTGTTAAATCTGCTTTAAAGCCCTTCCACCATTAAAAACTAATTATGCCACTGTTATTTAAATGATTTTTTAAAATAATGCATCAATTTTCTACACATTTTTAGAGTACAAAAGAAACAAATATCCAAACATCATCAAGTGTATGTAATGTAATTTTATAAACAGATGATTCTGCTATAATTTTTTAAATGATAAGTTTTTGATACAGTTTTTATTGTTTTAGTGTTGCTCTTCAATAACTACAAGTTGTCAAGTTAATGTATGTTTTCTTTTTTTTTTCTAAATCTTAAAGGTAAATTAAACAACTAATAAATAAATAACTAAAATAAATATATTTAATTTTGCTTTACACTAGTTTTATTGCATTAGAACATTACTTATTTTCAATTAGTTGTTTATGATAATTTCTTTTATTAGCGGCACTTTCTTTCATAACAGGTCACTTTCTTATAAGTGTTAAGAGTTCACATTTTTTTTGAACTGAATTATATTCAATTTAAGTTATGAAGCCTTGAACAAAGGCAGGGAAAGTGCGAAGAAAGTTTTTGTAATGATTCTGTTAGTCAGAATATCAGCCAAATCCCATTTTTCAATTCTGCACTGCAAAGCCAGCTCCCATTTTTCAATTCTGTACTGCAATGTTCTGAAGTTAAAAAGCACCCAAAGAATATGGTATGTTTTTATTAATTTCTGAATATGCAAGTAGCCATTAACAGTTGATTTTGGAATGTAATAATAGTTATATAATGCATTTCTAAACTTTTTTAGTTGTCATAGATGATGCTTAAAGGAGGGTTGACTTGCTATGACCATTTTTCAAGAGTGCCTAATAAGTTGCTGATACATGACTTGCAAAAAAAATCAACAGGCCCGGAACACATGGCAAACTTTTTTGACCATCTGGAAAATCTGCTTAAAAGTGAGTGAAATTTAGAGCTACTTCAAATAATTATTGATATTAAATTTTAAATAGCAGTCTTGTAAGTAACCCATTTGACTAACAATCACTGTTTGAAACAATAAAATGAAGTAATGAAAGATGTTAATCTATTGTTATTAACAATTTACTTATATTTTCTACGCATATTTATATTGTCGATGTGATTATATCTAACAGTCTCTTAAATAAATAGTAATTATGATAATAATTACTATTTATTTAATAATTACTAGAAGTAAAGAGGACAACAAAGATGATAACGCTCCTCGATAAAAGAAGCGAAAGGCATTTTTTCATAAATAACATCTTGTATTTTGAATAGCATTAAAATGTAAATAATTTGTTATATATATAATAGTTTATGTAATATGAATTGTAATAATAAATATATCTAAAAAATATTTTTTATATTTTATAAAAAAAAAAGAATTTAAAAAAACAACTACGCTTTACTACTCATTTTTTGAGTGGTAACGCGTGCTTTTTTTTTTTTTTTTTTGTTTTTTTTTTTTTAGTCGCTTAAGAGCTAGCCTTTAAAGAACCCTTATAATCCGCGCGGACATTTTTGCAAGGGTCCATTAAGGGACCCTTAATTTTTTTTAAGGCGAATAGTGTTTGTCGAGTAACTTGCAGTTCATAGTATTTCTCGAGTAACCTTCAGTTCATATTATTTGTTGAGTAACTTGCAGTTAATAGTATTTGTCAAAAAACGTTCCATTTTTTGTATTAAAATGGAAAATTTTTAAAAATGTATAAATGTTTGATACGACAATTGTATTTAAGTTGTAGGAGTTGGTATTTAAAAATTAAGCTGATTATTGTACGTGATAAATACCATTTGATTAACTGATATTTTGCTATTCTATAGCGTTTCTTTTGTTTTTTTTTTCCTTATTAAATCATTGTAAAAAATTGAATATTCTTAAATTAAAAAAATGTTTTACAAAAACGTCTTTTAAAAAGTTACTAAAAACTTAAAAAATTTTGTTCTTGAACTTTCGAAAAACTTTTGTTGAAAATAGCAGCTAATAATTTAAAATTACCTTAAAAGTTTTGATCTGATTGGTTTATACCGTCATAAAAGGTATTATTTTAAATTTTTACTACATATACTTATTGATACAAAAAAGAATTAAAAAAAAATACGTGCATTATGGTTTTATTTATTTATAGATTTTAACAATTTAAGTATTAACTGATACAATGCGTTTAGATGTAGCATTTATATATATAATATTATATATATATGTATATATATATATATATATATATATATATATATATATATACATATATATATATATATATATATATATATATATATATATATATATATATATATATATATATATATATATATATATATATATATATATATATATATATATATGTATATATATATACATTTATACATATATATATATATATATATATATATATATATATATATATATATATATATATATACATATATATATATATATATATATATATATATATATATATATATATATATATATATATATATATATATATATATATATATACAGGGCTGCCGCGAGGGGAGGGTCAATGGGTACTTTTTACCTGGGCGCAGGATCAGAAGGGGCGCACAAATGAAAAATATGGAGTGGTGACATCAATGCAGTTAAAAAATGCCACTAAAACAATCCATCGAGACTATTACATTAAGTGGAAAACAGCGCTAAAAGGGAAACCAGTGCAAGATTGATTCAAGTTTATAAAAATCGATAATGAGGCAGCAGGCAGAATAAAATTGTAAAGTGCATCTTAGATATAACTCTCTTCTTAGCATCACGCTTTAGAGGTATATTAGTGAAGGCTAACTATTATATTTATATTTGTCATAATTTATTTTATTTAATTAAACAGAAAGTCATGGTTTATATGTGTAAACATGTATTATTACATGTATGTATTAAAGTCGTCGTTTTAGACTCTTCAAAAATGATCAATGATGATGATAACGGCATGTTTCTTGCAACTCTAGAGCTACTCGCAAAGCACAACAAGACCCTTTAGTTACATTAGAAAGAGGTTTCCTGGTGTCAACATGAAGGTAAACAAATTATTGTGCATATTTTGGGTTGGAGTTCTCAAAACGAATTTATAAAAAAGTGCGGAAGAATCGTCCACGGTGCCATCATTAATGATGCGCATATAGTAATTTACTATTTTATTTTTGTCGACGGAACGCCTGACATCTCTTATACTGACCAAATTGCATTTGTTCTTCGTTTTGTCTACAACGGTATTGATAAAAGACAGGTAGTTAAGGAGCGCTTTCTTAAGGTCGAAAATCTTAAACAAAAGAAAGTTGTGGATATTGCCAAGATAACGAGAGATTTCTTGGGTCATAATGACATCAATCTGAAGAACTGTTGAGGTCAAGGGTATAACAACGGTGCTAACATGTCTGGTGTGTACAAAGGAGTAAAAGCGATCATTCCGTCAGAGAAATTCTGAAGCTTTCTACATGCTATGCAGCGCTCATAACCTTAACCAAGCTGTTGTTCATTCTCTTTAATCTTCTGCAGAAAGGAAGCACTATTTTAGCCGGATTCAGTTACTCTACAATCTTTTTATTGGAAGCCCTATAGAATGTCAAATCTTGACTAAGAGAACTGGTTTGTCTCGTCATTAAAACTCACAAAACCGATGGAGGGCAAGAGACTTTGAAGCCGTTGGTTAAGCAACATAGAGAAATTACTTTTTCTTTGCAGAAACTTCAGGAACTTGATTTAACTGCTGATCTATTGAATGACGTAAAATCTTTGGAGAAATAGTTTTATTCATTTGAGTTTATTATCATAACAACCTTCTGGTTCGAAGCGCGCCAAGCAATTGTCAGCGTGTCATTTCAATTAGGAAACATTACTTTAGATGAAGAGATGAAGCTTATTAGGGTTCCTATCGAGGATCTTATGAATGAGATATTCTTGGCCCGAATTAATTAATGAAGCACATTTAGTTATCTCCGGTCTAGCTAGTTATGGGTTTTAGTCAAAGTTAGTTCAAAAAAGGACAAGGAAGAGGAAAGCCTTTTACAAAGAAGCAAGGAATTTCTAAGAAAACAAAGCAAGTTCATTTCTAAGAAAACGATGAAAAGTAGTTTGAGGTGAACGTATACCCGTTTTTCAAAACACCTTTAGATGCTTTTTACGTATTTCGAGAAAAACGCAATTAAAAATTATTTTTAAAGAACTTTGAAAAAGTTTATACAAATTATAATTTTCAAAAAACGTTTTACAAAACTTTCCTGTATTATTATACAAGAAAATTTTGTAAAACGTTTTTTTAAAATTATAATTTGTATGAACTTTTTCAAAACAATTATTCAATAACCTTTGCAGGCACCTATATAAGCTTATTTTCTAAAAAAGTCGATTTTGATTATTTTTACCTAAAGGCGTTAAGAAAAATGGCTGAAGAACACCGCTCTCAATATTTTAATCCAACAAATAAGAGACAGATTTTAAGCTGCAGAAAAAATGACAAACAGTTTCTCCTTCCTATGGTTCTCGGAATCTAATAGTAGGTCGAGTGAAGAAAATTGAACCACCTAGCCTGGAGGAGAAATGTAAACTTTGGCGCAAATTTATGTGAACAATGTAGATGAAAACAAACTAATTTTAGAGGTCCATCATCTGGATATTCTGAAGCATGCCAAGCTTTTTAGTCCAAAAGAATATCTCACTTCAATGAAGCTATTAAATGGAATCTATTAAAAAGGTCTAGAGTCTATCTTCGAATCAATAGGCATTTTGTTACGTATTTTTAACACGATTCTTGTTTCCATTGCCGAAAGAGAGATTTTTTAGTAAGCTTGGTCTAGACAACATTAAGATCTAAAATAAGTCAAGACCGGCTTACCAATTTCTTAGTTATATTTATTGAATACGATCTCGCAAAAAATCTGTGCTACAACAAGGTCATTCCAAATTTTGCTTTAAATTATACCCGTAGAGTCAAATTGTCATGAAGCATTTAGAATATCTATTACATTTAAAACTCATAGTTACTCTGTGCTTCATTTTTACTTTTATTTCAAAATTATTATAAAATTAAATAGAAGCTTTCTCGACTGTATTTACTCCCTCGGCCTTTATTAGTGAATTTAGTTAACAAAAAAAAAAAAAAAGACAGTATTTGGACAGTAACTAAACTTTTTAGAATTAGATCAATATGACAGGGCGCTAGATAAGTTTTGACCCCGGGCGTCGTAAAGGATCGCAGCGGGCCAGTGTATATATATATATATATATATATATATATATATATATATATATATATATATATATATATATATATATATATATATATATATATATATATATATAGCTTAATAACTATTATAATGAAACAATAATTATTTATTATGAAAAATTGATTTTGTAAAGGCAATTAAAGGAATAAAATGAATGAATTTTATGTGGAAATGTCTTAATTTTGCAAAGCAAAAGTACAAGCTTATTAAAAGCTTTTAAATGATGATAGCTAATTTCTAATGACCTTTAAAAAGTACTTTATAAATTAAAACTTACACCTAATTGCTTTTAACAAATAAATAAATTAAAAATTACACCCAATAGCTTTTAACAAAACCTTAGCTATTTCAAAAGTAATTTTTTTATTTTCTGTATATTTATATATTTAATGAAGCATACCGTTTGAAAAGTCAATTAGGGGGGCTGTTTATAAAATAAAAGAATTTTTAATGAGCGTTGCAAAAAAATAGTCGTATTTTTAGGTGATCATGGTGGTACAACACCAAATATTTTCTGAAAATTGAAAAAAAAGTAAATTTCATTTAATATGCAATTTGTTGTAGATTAATAATATAAAAAGCTTATTCCTAATTTATTCTTTAATTTTTCGATAAACTAACTAAAAATGTTTGTAGGAATGTTAAGAATATTTAATCTTCTTTTGCGTTTTAATCCGTTTTCAAATTTTTTTAAATCTTGAAAAGCAAAAGTGCTTCACTTCATATTTTTATGGGAATGTTTATTATACTTTTTTCTAGGGAATGACATTTTGGAAATTTTAAATTCTGTTCTAATCTTTTTTTTTTTAATTTTAAGATTTATAAAAGTTTTTTTTATAATTAATTGTTGTAAAAAAATTGATATAATTTTAATATATTTTGAAAATCATAAAATCCAAATTTCAATACTTTATTTTAAATGTCTAGAACATATGTAAAAAGTTTCATGGATTTTGTGCTAGTTATTGTGTTTTTAATTGACCCATTAAAGTGAATGTTTTTCGATAACTTCGAGGCAAATTATTTAAGGCAAAGTAAAACGATGTATAAAATAGCATTCTAAATTAATGTAATTTTTATTGATATAAAATTTCTCGTTTTTTTTTAAGTTTGAACATTTTTAATTATTTGGTGGTGTAGTACCTCAATATAAGACGTAACTTCATAGTCACATAGATTAAGATAGTGTAAGACTAACAGTCTAAAACTTTAACTAAAAAGTTTTTTATTTTATTTTAAACTTAAAAATTGACCCCTATTCCACTAGATAGTCCGGAGCCAACAAACAAAAGAAAACACCTCTCCTCTCACCCAATCACCTTTCCTTCCATTCTAGAAAGTCTGAACCGAATCAAAAAACCCTAAAAGTTAGCACAAGTGCGGATCCGCTACTGTTTAGTATGCGTTTTATATATATATATATATATATATATATATATATATATATATATATATATATATATATATATATATATATATATATATATATATATATATATATATATATATATATATACACGGATCCTCTACTGTTTAGTATGCGTTATATATGTATATATATATATGTATATATATATATATATATATATATATATATATATATATATATATATATATATATATATATATATATATATATATATATATATATATATATATATATATATATATTTATGTATACATATATATATATATATATATATATATATATATATATATATATATATATATATATATATATATATATATATATATATATATATATATATATATATATATATATATACATATACATA